CATGGTGCCATTGTTGTAAAACAGGACTGACATCGGGGTTGGGGGGAGACTGAGAAAGATGGGTTCAATAATGTATACTGCATTGAAACAGATGATGGAGAAAACTATTTAAAAGGGATATGTGATTAGGTATTTTTGTCATGACAGGAATCCAGAGCGAAGGCTGCATAGTGGAGTGGACCTTAGGGGAGGGATTGTAAAACAATGAAAGAATTTTTCTTTTACTTTTCCAAGAGGGTAGTGTACTAGAGGGAAGGGTTGGAAGGGCCGAAAAGTGCAACAATGAATGACTGGAAACCCAAAGTCTCTTTAAATTTTCATTGAAATTAATAAATTTTAAAAAAGAAATAGACTGGCTATGGTACATTCATACTATTAGATATTACACAGCATTGAGAAACAATTAACTCATTAAACATTACATACTATGAGTGAGCCTGGATACATCATGCAGAATGAAATATATCAGTTACAAAAGGACAAATATTGCATAACACCCCTGTTGTAAAGAGGGCTGACATGAGGGGTTGGGAGTGGAACAGGAAAAGAGTGGATAGATTATGAACACTGTGTTAGAATAGATGAAAGAAAGAACTATCTGAAAGAAATATATGATTAGTCATTACATGTATGACAACAATCTGCAACAAGAGGTGCATCACAAAGTCGACTGTGGGAGGTAGAAAGGAAAAATGTACAATGACTGAATAAAAATTTTAGAAAAACTGTGGAGCTTTCTTGAGAAAGCAGAAGCTAAAAAGGCCAGTCCCCACAGCTGACATGGAGAGAAAACCTGCCCCCTAGTCCCCTAGAACCAGCACCCTGAATCCAGAGCTCTGACCTCCTGAGGAGCTCTGATGGCCTAGTCCGTAGGGAGGTGGCTCTACTAACCCAGAAGAAATGCCTCTGGCAGTTCGGATCCACCAGTGACTCCAAGGGAGAAAGATGGGCAGTCTCTTCCAGTGCAGTTTACAGCCTCTGAAAAACCTCCATAGAGTTCGTTTTGAGTCAGTCGCAATTTGACAATGATGAGTGACCCCCCCTAAACTGTGAGAGGGCAAACTTCTGTTTAATGCAGCCAGCCACTTGTGACACTGCTGTTACAGCTGCACTGGATGAGTAAGACAAAGAGAGAGACCAGGGCAGAAAGGACCTTCAGTCAGAATGGCCCACATTTGAACCAGCCCCGCAGCCAGGACATTAAAGGACGTATTGCATTAAGAAAGTCTGCTGTTAGGGACCTCTCCAAAATACTGAAGAGCAACGATGTCAGTCTGGAGACTAAGGTGCATCTGGTACAGGCCATGGTCTTTGCAATCACTTGCTATGCATCAGAGAGCTGGACAATGACTAGGGATGATAGAAGAAGAATTGACGCCTTTGAGCTGTGGTGTTGGAGAAGAGTATTGACTATACCATGGACTGCTAAGAAAACAAACATGCCCTGGAGAGGGTGAAGTCAGGCTGCTCCTTGCAGGCAAGGATTCTGAAGCTTTGTCTGATGTACTTTGGACATGTTGCAAAGTGGGATCAGTCCTTGGAGAGGGACGTCATGCTTGGAAGAGTGGAGTGACAGCACAAGAGAGGAAGACCCTCTATGAGATGCATTGATTCAATGACTGGGGTAATGGGGATAGGTGTGTAGGAGACTGCAAGATTGGCACAGGATAGAGCAGGGTTTAGGGTGGTTTTATGTAGGATAGCTGTGAGTCACAGGCAACTCGATGGCACATAACAACAACCACAATGTGTTCTGTGATTAGTCTCAAGTCTCTGTGTGAAAATGGAAATGGTAATATCTGCCTAGGAGTTCTGGTGGCCTAGTTTGTAAGGAGTTTTGGTGCTAGCCCACAGGTGGTACCTCTCTGAGGGTTCAAATCCACCAGCAAGTCTGTGGGAGAAAGATGGGTAATCTGCTCAGAATTGACAGCCTCTGGAAACCCGCTGGAGGGGTTAGTGCACTATATGGCCAGGGCTCCTTCCAGACACCCAAGTGCTGTCTTCGTGTAAACCCTCAGAGTATCTTCCAATGTGGGTCAGCAGCTCCCTGGAGAGGCGTCACCCCGCCGAGTGGTCTTCTGCATTGAATCATGTCCCCCAGAAGTACGTGTGGTGAGTCACATATTGTAAGTCAGCCAGGAGTCAGTTCTGACTTGACAGTAGTGAGCTGAGAGTACCTGGCGAGTGCACATTACTAGAATGACAAGAATGGGTGCTGGAATCCTAGGCTGGTTTGCAGGTTAAGAGTGAGTCTCCAGGTGAAAAGTCCCTTGGCCCTGCCCTTCGTGTTACGACCAGACAGCCTTTAAAAATAGAAGCTGTATTTCCCATTGCCCAGGAGTCTTCATCCAGGCCTTCCAAGGCACCTCCCCACTCAGCTGTCTCTTGGACCGTTGCCGTCTAGCTCTCTGGATGTCCCCCTGCCCCTTTCCCTGCCTCATCTTTCTTGTTAGTCCTCGCCACCCTGAACCACTTGCCTGGATAAATCCTTCCCCTTCAGGATCTCCTCAGAGAAATTTTCCTGACACACACGCACACTCTACCTCCGGCCATGCACCTATGTGTAGCAGAGTCTGGATGGCCTGGATTTGAGTCCTGGTAGACCCTTACCAGATTGGACAAGTTATTCTGTGTCTTCTATCTCCTCATCGATACAAAAAGGAGGATTAAAGAGGATAGTGTCTTTCTAGACAAGTCCAAGGAAGGACTGTGCTGAGGGAATAGTACCCCTCTTGAAGCAAGCACATGACAGTGGCCACTGTTGTTAGTTATTACCCGCCCAGGAAGGCCTCCAAGATACTACAGGTTCAACTCCGACCATTGCAATAAAGCAAGTGGTGCCATAAAGCCAGTCATGCCAATTGGTTGGTTTCCCAAGTGTACAGTCTGCAGTTAGGGACCTTTCCAAATTATTGAAGAGTAGTGATGTCAGTTTGAGGACTAAGGTGCATCTGATTCAGGCCTTGGTCTTTCCAGTTACTAGTTATGCATCTGAGACCATGAATAAAAATGACAGAAAAAGAATTGATGCCTTTGAGCTGTGGTGTTGGAGAAGAGCACTGAACATCCCATGGACGGCCAAGAGAACGAATAGATAGGTCTTGGAGAGGGTGCAGCCGGAGTGATCTTTGGAGGCATGATGAGGCTTCACTTCACGTACTTTGGGCATTTTGCTAGGAGGGGCTATTCTTTGGAGAGGGACATGATGTTGGGAAGGGTGGAGGGTCGGTGAAGGAGAGGAAGACCCTTAACCAGGTAGATTTACACGGTGACTGCTGCAATGGGCCCTTGTGTGTCAGGGAGTGTGAGGATGGCGCAGGGTAGAACAGGGTTCAGATCTTTTGTTCATAGGGCTGCTATGAGTCATGCTGTACCCAACAGCTCCTAACAACAGCAACCCTATGCTACAGTTATGAAACTTGAAATAGCCTTATGAAAATGTCTTAAATATTGCAAGAATTACCTAAGCATGACACAGAGACAAGAAGTGAACACATGTGGTGGGAGAAGTGGCTTCAAAGGACTTCTTGGTCCAAGGCTGTCACACACCTTCAGTCTGGGGGGGGGAAAAAAACAACAAAAAAACATGCTATCTGGCAGTAAAGCAAACCACAATAAAATGAAGTATACCCCCATTTGTCTTTTATTGTAATGTGAGTGAAAGTGCAAACTGATTTTCCTGTCAAACATTCACACACCCTTTGTTTTATGGCATCAATTACCATAACCGCACTCTTCCTGCTCCTTCCCTGTAATTCTCATCTCCATTCATCCTTCTAGCCTATCCCATCCTGCCGTTCCAAGCTTCATCCTGGGCAGTTGCTGCCCTTTTGCTCTTAGAAGTTTGGTTGTGCTGGTCTTCATTGTTCACCTTACAGGCCTGTCTGTTCTTTGGCCAAAAGTTGAGCCCTGAGGGTAAGTTTTGTTCCAGGCTTACAGAGTGACTAAGGACCATTGTCTGAGGGAGCCCGGGTTGCTTTTTGTGATACCCCCAAGGCATTCACTGAGGACTGTTGGTAGTATCTGCCTTTCCTGTAAGGAGGATCCCTGGTGGTGCTGTGGTTAAAGAGCTCGGCTGCTAACTGAAAGATCAGTGTTAGCAGCTTGTTTTTAAGATGATTACAGCCTTGAGAACACTGTGAGGCAGTTTCAAGTCGGCTCTGCCCTATCACATCACCATGTGTCGGATTTTATTCTAAAGCAATGGGTATAACTATACTCGCAGCCTTCCTGGAGGTTGGGATGGTACAGTACAGTACAGTCTGTGCTGACTTTAACGTAGAGGGTGGCAATTCCTGCAGAAGAAAGGCCTGGCAATCCTGCACCCACCAAGGCTGCCGTTCTTCTCTGTAGCCCATGCTGCCTCAGTGACTCAGAACCGATTTGACAGTGACAGAGTTTTCTGTCCCTGCAGCTGCCTAGTCATTGCCTGTCCGCCCTGCTAGGTCCAAGCTCCTGGCCTGTACATGCTGCGGGCCCTCCACAGGAGGCCTGTATGAATGGCCTGGTCAGGCCTCTGGGTCCACAGGAGGTGGCTGGGAATCCCAGGACACAGTGTGACTTTGATCAAATCTTAAGTCGTTGGTTCAAACCTCTGCTGGTACTTAACTCAGAGCGTGACCTCAGCATCCATCCCCGTCTGGACCTGGGAATGCCAGCCTGCAGGGGCCCTGAGGGTGTTAACTGAGAGAGTGCCATTCACACCTCCCTCTCTCTTCTCCTTCTCTCCCGCCCCAGGCATCGAACCTGGCCACATCCCCGGCACTGTGAACATCCCCTTCACAGACTTCCTGACGCAGGAGGGCCTGGAGAAGAGCCCTGAAGAGATCCACCACCTGTTCCAGGAGAAGAAGGTGGACCTGACCCGGCCACTCGTGGCCACATGTGGCTCTGGTGTCACAGCCTGCCACGTGGCGTTGGGGGCCTACCTGTGTGGCAAGCCTGACGTGGCCATCTACGACGGCTCCTGGGTGGAGTGGTACATGCGTGCCCCGCCTGAGGAGGTCATCTCCGAGGGCCGAGGGAAGACCCTCTGAGGCTGAGCCGGGGCAGGGCGAGCCCAGGCAACACCCGGCCACCAGCCATGCCCACCAGCCCTGCCGCTTGGACTGTGCGGTGACCACGAGAGTATTTCTTCATCCAGCTCAGGCGGCACAAGGGGCAGTGCCTCTGAGGTCAGGAGTTCCGTTAACACCTGAATGCCCAGTGGAAGCAGGAGAGGAGGTGGAGGCAGGCACCGAGGTGGGAGCCCGGAAGGCCCCTGCTGCCTGTCCTGGTGCTGAGCTGGGGCCCTGGCCCCCCTTCTGTTTTACTGTCGAGGAAATAAAACCACCAAGTGCTAAATCCATGTAGCTATGGGCTGCCGTGTGCTGTTTCAAGAGTCAGCCTCCAGGGTGCCTGGTGAGGGGAGCTCTGCACAGGCCGAGGGGCTTCTGAGCAGCCTGGGGCCTCAGCCTTTTCCTTCCTCTGAAGGATTACCTCACACCCCCCCAGCAAACTGTCTTCCACCCCTCTTGTTGGGGACCCTCCCTTCTGGATTCTGGGCTGGAGGGTGAATCATCTTGTGACATGCTTGGGACCGCAACCACCACCAGCCCGTAATTGAACAGTACATCCACGTTTCAAAGGAGGGTAAATTACTAGCTTACTAAGAGTTTGTACCATGCTCTCCAGAATTTTCTGGAGCTCTCCAGCCTGTCCCTGGCTCTCCGGAATGTTCTGGAGCTCTCCAGCCCGTCCCTGGCTCTCCAGAATGTTCTGGAGAAGGGCTAAGTTTAGCCAAATTAGAGGACAATTGAAGTCTAAACTCCCCCAGCTCAAGCTTAGAGGCTGGACTCCAGACTGGCAAAGGGCAGGGCAAGCCCAGAGAATTGGTCCTTCCTGCTCAAAGGTGACTTGCACCTCAATTCTAACCAAGAAGGGGGTCTCTGGACCCCTCATCCTGTGTTTTATTCCTCAGAGGTGGATGCAGTGTCTGAGAAGACCCTAGTGTCCCCTGCTGGAACTGGTCACCCTCCCCACCTTTCTACCACCTCTCTAGGAAAGGGGCAGTGTCAGTTAGTGCTCATGGCAGGGGGAGACCTGAAGATGTTACCATGTCGGAAACAAAGCCAGAGTGGGATAGTGACGAGCCCACAGGTGCTCAGACCCAGGACCAGCCTTGTTTCTTGTCACTGAAGTTACACGCCGCCTCTGCTGCCTCTCCAGCTGCAGAGGAGTCACCTTCCAAGACCATAAGGAGACAACAAAAGCATAGAATCTTGTCCCTCATGGAGTAAGTCCCAACTTCTCTGGGCCTCACTTCCTCACCTGGGAAATGGGCAGAATATATGCTTCAGAGCAGAGTTTCACACAAGGACCTAGTCCAGAGCCTATTGCAAAATCCCATTTCTCCAGCCCGGGGTTTCTCAACCTTGGCGCTGGGGATACCTGAGACTAAACAAGTCAATTTTTTAGGGGGAGAAGTGCCACCTTGTGCACTGTGGGATGCTCAGCAACGTCTCTGGCCTCCACCCTTGGATTCCAGTACCACGCTCTGGTTGTAAAAACCTAAAAGATGTCCAGACGAGAAAAAACTAGTTCGTTCCAACACCTGACGACCCCACGTATCAGAGCCACCAAACTCTATCTGCTTTCATGGCTGTAATCTTTACAGGAGCCCCAGTGCCTGGTTGGTAAGGAGTTGCACTGCCAACTCAAAGGTTTGACGGTTCAAATCCACCAGCTGCTCTGTGGGGAAAAAGAGGGGCATCCTCCTGCTGTAAGATTTACAGCCTCTGAAACCCTACGAGAGGGTCAGCTGTACATTGGTTCTGACCCGACAGCACATCATAATCTTTTTAAAATTTTTTCTTGGTTTGCATATAATCATTCCTATGTTGTTGTTATGTGCCGTCGAGTCACTTACGACTCATAGCAACCCAATGTACAACAGCCCTAAACCCTGCTCTATCCTGCGCCAATCTCACTGTCTCCAACACACCCATCCCGATTACCCCAGTCACTGAATCAATCCACCTCATAGAGAGTCTTCCCCTCCTGCGCCGTCCCTCCACCCTCCCAAGCATGATGTCCTTCTCTAAGGACAGGTCCCTCCTTACAACATGACCAAAGTATGTCAAAAGAAGCCTCAGAATCCTTGCCTCCAAGGAGCAGCCTGGTTGAACCCTCTTCAGGATGAACCTGTGCGTTTTCTTGGCAGTCCATGATACACTCAATACTCTTCTCCAGCACCACAGCTCAAAGGCATCAATTTTCCTTCTATCCTCCCTAGTCATTGTCCAACTTTCTGAGGCATAACAAGCGATTGCAAGACCATGGACTGTACCAGACGCACCTTAGTCTCCAGAGACATACCGTTGCTCTTGAGTACTTTAGAGAGGTCCCTAACAGCAGACTTTCCCATCGCAATATGTCTTTTACATTTCTTGGCTGCTGTTGCCAAGGGTGTTGATTGTGGAGCCAAGCAGACTAAAGCTGTGTACAATCTCAATCACTTCACCATCCATTCTGATGCTGCCAGTTGGTCCAGTGGTGAGAATCTATACATCATGTTTTATACAGGCACTTTGTAAACAGCAACCACCCTTACAGAGACGGATCACTGGGTTGTGGTTTGTTTCTTTCTTTTTAATGCTGCAGCTAGGTGGATTCGAACTGCCAGCCTTTATATTAGCAGATCTTTTGTGCCACTCCCATACCCCCAAACCCACTGCCACTGAGTAGATTCTGATACATAGTGACCCCATATGGGACTTTAAAAATCTCAACGTTGGGCAAGCTCTGGTAGCCTGGTGGCAAGAAGCTGCACTGCAATCCCAGAGGTGAGCAGTTCAAATCCACCAGATGCTCTGCTGGAGAATGAAGAACAATCTCCTCCTGTCCTAGTCAGATACAATTTGATGGTACACACACACACACACACACACACACACACACACACACAAATAATAAAAATAAAGTTTAAAAAAATCTCAACATTGCCAGGGTCCCCTGGAGGGTAAGAGTGGAGTCACGTCCACTTGAGATACTAGCATATGACATGCTGTTGTAATATAATAGGGAGTTGTAATAGGGAGCTCTGGTGGCCTAGTGGCAAGAAGCTGTGCTGCAGTCCCGAAGATATGCAGTTCAAATATACCCACTGCTGTGCGGGAGGATAAACAATCTCCTTTAAATGATTAAAACTGCCTCTCAAAACCCACTGGAGAGTCAGCTGTGAGTCCATTCCGACTCAAAGGTATACAACAACAACATGCAGGAGACTACAAGACATCAGGAACAGTGGAAAGGGGACATTCCAACATGGGAGGATCCCTGTATTCCCGCATCAGAAGCCCCTTCCCTTGAGCTGCGTTTAGCAGTTTAAGAGCACCGGTTCTTTCTTGCTGGCCTCAGCCAACCGGTTTTCTTCCCTAGAATATTTCTACCTCTTGGGGGAAGAGGACAGCAGTTTGTCTACAGCAAACTATTGTAGACTTCTGTCCAAGGCTGCCTGAGATCTGTCAAACCTCAGTTTCTTCATCTTTAAAATGGGTGCAATATAGGGGAGCTCTGGTGGCCTAATGGCAAGGAGCTGCAACTACAATCCCAGAGGTGCATGGTTTGAATCCACCAGATGCTCTGCCGGGGAAGGAGGGACAATCTCCTGTACCAGTCAGATCTGATTTGACGGTACACTCACACAAAAATAATAAAATTTTTTAAAAAAAATGGCAATAGCCCCTTTCCTGATAGCCATAAGGATTGAGATGAAGCCATGTAAGCTTTTTAGCTCGGTGCCAATCGCAAGAGGGTTTTTGGTTTTTGTTTGGTTTTTTTTTTTGTGCTCAGACACATCAGGTGTCTCTGTTCATTCTTAAGGAATTTTACAGATCCAGGATGTTAAATTCCTCCCAAGCTTCAGGCACTGGGGGAAAGAGCAAGGAATAAAGAACCACACTGCGCGTACCTAATTAACCTAAAGGTTGTCTCTTCAAACTCACCCAGCAGGTACTGTGGAAGAAAGGCCTGGCTCTCTTCTTCCAAAAGATTACCACTAAGAAAGCCCTCAGGCACTGTTCTCTCTAGTAACGCTTGGAGTTGAGCTGAGTCAAACCCTACTCCCTGGCAAAGGCTTTGCTGCAGGGTTGGTTTTATTTAAGTTCTTACTCTTACAGAGATTTCCAGTGAGGGAGAGGAAGCTGACTCTTCATCTTGTATTTCCAGGAAGAAGAGTCCTGAGAAAGGCTTCCTCACACAACAGACTCATTGTACCGTGCTGTGAGCAGATTCAGAGAGGTTCTGTGACTTGCCTGAGGACACACAGCTTGTTAGTGGGGAACCCCTCCCCACTGATCTCCGTGATGGGATATAAGCAGCTCTCTGGGTTGGGGTTAGACTCCTCCCAACCCCCAGCAATGGAACTGTTGCCAGAGAGTCAATTCAGACCCCTGGTGACCTGATGTGTCAGATTTGAGCTGTGAGACATCATGTGTTCAGTGTTTGCTTTTTCAAATGAAGATCACCTGGCCTTTTCTCTGCAGTGCTTCTGGGTGGAGGTGAGCCTCTAACCTTTAAAATCAAAAGCTGAGTCCATTGACTGCAGCACCAAATGACACCAAACTGGGGCTTGTTCCTTCTGAGTTTGCCGACTGGTTGGGTCAGGACAGTCCAGGGAGGGCTGTGTGGAGGAAGGAGAAAGGTTTAGCGCAGTGTTTCCAGGATTCGCATGCAGGGCTGCAGCTGAACTCAGAAGCTTGCCAAGTGGGCGGTTCCCAGGGCTTCCTGAACTCCCTGAATAATTAACCACCATCCGTCAGGGTCCTTGTTAACTAACAGCCCACACCTCACCCATCTGCGTATTCCAGGAGCTTGCAACACTACGAAGTTGGGATGAGTACATTTCTGGTCCTCTTAGCAAATATTTGCTGAACACCTCCCCTGTGGCGGGGACAGTTGGAAGTGTGTTTCTCAACATGCCACACCAGCAGTGCAGGAACGCTTCTGCTCCCAGGACAGGACTCCCAGGGGGGCCCAAACCACCACCCATACAAAG